GATAACTATTACCAGCTCTTTCTTCTTTAAATTAATTCCTGGGTTTGTGTCTTCAATTCAGCAAAAATCTGACTGCCTGAGCCAGGAGATGGAAAAAATCCACAGCATTTTTAACTGTGAAAGTGTTATTGGCTAGTAGTTTTCACATACAGTATTCATTTTCACTGGGAATAAAAACTGGTCATCTATAATGCAAATGTCTAAAATGGCAACATGGTTTCTTCAGGATGGTCTGTCCATAAAAAGAGCCTACACAGTTACTGGGAATTGCTGCTTCATTTACTTAACAGGAGATATCACTCCTAAAGAAAGCAAAAGACACAAAATACATGGTGGAGGGCACTGCGTGTGTGCAGATCATGAATTCTACCCTCCAAAAGTGAGCTTATTCTTTTTATTCACTAAGCTGCAGTGTGAGCTGTCACTCACACATGACATCACTAAAGTTATGATTATAATTAGACAAACCCAGAGCTCATGGCAGACTGACCTCACAAACAGCAGCCTTATTTTCTTCATCTTGACATTCTATAAGATCAGCAAGGACATAGTCACTATAGGTTTCTTTCAGAGTCTCACTCTGACGTGTCCAAATTAGCATGAGATCATCATAATCTTCCAACCTACAAAAAAAGAGATTAGGTAACGTCTTAAAGCTCTGCCGTTAACAAGTCCTCATACTTCTGTTCTACTCCATTAGCATATGGACAAATATTACAAATACCTGATCCAAAGCCTCCACCCACAAATAAATAATTTCACCTAGGACATATCCCCAGCGCACACTAAACTGGGAGCCTCAGTACCAGAGGAGAGACAGAACCACTTCCAAAAGCCAGCACAACCCACCTAAGATCTGGATTGCCTCTTTCCCTAAAAAAATACGAAGGCAGCCCAGTTCAAAATTATCTTGCCTAAGGCATCTCAAGCCAGGTGGACCTGGGCTATAGGCCTTGTTTAAAATAATTATATTCAGTGAGCCCAATGATCAGTTGGTTAGAGTTGGCAGAGATCTCAAAAAGCAACACCAGTGCAATTTAGAAAAATCAGTTCTTAAAAAAAAAAAAAAAAGGAAAATAGTGCCTTCCTGTATGGGAGAAACAGTGCTGAGTATTGGCTAGATTACTGTTATTAGAGACCACAGCGTGGGAGTCACCTGGCAGAAATCGAGTCATTATGCCTTTGTAAGGTCAAGTTAATGCTCCACCATTGAAAAAAGATACAAAGGCCAAAGTACAATTATTCTATCCCTCTGCCTCATGAAAGGCTTTCTGCATAGGTGGGAACCTGCCACATCAAGACTTCAACTGCCTCTACTACTCCAGTTTGTTCTCCATGCTGCCAGTGAGAAAGCTGGGCCGCTTTCCAATCAGTCAAGTTTCGGTGTTAGACTCATACAGGCCCCATACTGCACAATTTTTATTTAAATAGGCAACAGAGACTCTTTACCATTAAACCACTTCCAAAAAAAATGTTACTTCTTAATCAGGATCAATGTATGTCTTAAAAAGAAGTTTCAGTGCTTTCACAAATGCAGTGAAGGAATTAATTAGTCATATGAGCTGCGACCACGCCATAATGGCCAATGGCAAACCAGCTCTAACACAGAACTGCTTTCAATAAATGAGTGGTTTCATCTTCTTATCTGTCTGAAAAATGCAAGGATTAAGTGGTCCAACCAACAATTCTGCAACTAAAAGAGTTGTGAGAAGAGTGGGGCTGTGGTGGGCCCTCTCAAAGGAATGACTTTTACTACCAGACTGTGGAGTTAAGAAAACCCTTTCACCTCAGGACCATCAAGTAGACTGCTACTGAATGTCCTTTGGGTTATCTGTTACCACAGGCACAGACACACAAGGAGAACGACGAGCCGCACAGGATAAAGGAGTTAAATCGAGAAGAGTAAACAATGCACTTCATCAAACATAGGAATACATTTATGCTGACTGAAAGAGAGACCACCGCAGTGGGCTCCTTTGAAACAACAGGTTGGATCCCTCAGTTACCGAGCGCTCAGGAGACTAACCTGTGGTGGACAACTGCCTTGGGACAGTCACAGAACTACAGAATCATTTGACTTGGAAAAGACGCTTAAGATCATCGAGTCCAACCGTAAACCTAACACTACCAAGCCACCACTAAATCACGTCCTTAAGCGCCTCGTCTACACATCTCTTAAATACATCCAAGGATGCGGACTCCATCACTTCCCTGGGCAGCCTGTTCCAACACTTGACAACCCTTCCGGTGAAGAAATTTTTCGCAATATCCAATCTATACCTTCCCTGGCGCAACTTGAGGCCGTTGCCTCTTGTTACATGGGAGAAGAGATCGACGCCCACCTCGCTACAACCTCCTTTCAGGCAGTTGTGGAGAGTGACAAGGTCCCCCCTCAGCCTCCTCTCCTCCAGTCTAAACCTCCCCCTGAGGAGCTCCCTCAGCCGCTCCTCAGCACAAACCCATCACCTGCACCCTCCCCTTCGGAACACGCGTCACCTCGGTTACAGCGTTTGCAACGCTCCGAGGCTGGCCTTTTTTACGAGCCTTCCGAGACTCTCTCTCTCCTCACGAATAGCTGCGACCGGCAGTTTAAAGGCGGGAAGCGCTGCCGCTGCTTT